GAAAAATAGCAAAATTGAACATTCAAGGCGAAATATTACTCACGGTTCATGTTCCATTTCTCAGAAAACGGCATGTCTTCAGCAGGGATCAGGTCAGAAGTCCTTATTCGGACAAATCAGCCCATCCAACCTCGGTCACGAGCCTCGTCTATGCTCGAAAATGGGGCTTTATTGGCCCGGCGAGCGAGCTTGATTAGCCCTCCCCGATAGAGTCGGGGACTGTAAAGGCGCATAAAGTGACCGAGGGTGAAAAGACATCCCTCGATTTTGCTTATGAAAAATCGGAGGAGAATCACTATTCTCCAAAAGGAAGGATGGATCTGGCCAAGGGTCATGTCGTATCTCTTGCAGAAGGCGGCGATGACAGGGTCTAAGGGACCTAACATGAAGGGGTAAGTGTAAACACTTAGAAACCCCTCTACATGGGTAGTAATAGATTCCTCATGCAATGGGACTACTACATGTTTTTTGTCCTAGTTGCATTCCTCTTTGACTTTGTCGAGGATCTTTTCGGTGATTGAGCATATGTACCTCGAGACCGGCTCACATCATCCCGGTACCAAGGAGACCTTTTCGACCTTAAAGTCAATGACGGTTGGGCACCCTACCGGAATGAATTCCTCAGGGAGGGGCTCCGCCGCAGCCTCACCACCGGCGGATCGTGATGTAGAAGCGGCCTCATTTTGCGGCACGGTTTTGGAAGTTTTTCCATTAATGAACAAGGGAAAAGAGAATTAGGATGGTATGCGGTTTGATTAGAGTTTTAGAAATTTGGGTGTGAAAATTGTGAAGCAAAGGGATTTTCTGAAGAAGAAGAAGCAAGAGTAGAAAGAGCTTTGAGTGTAAAAGTTTGAAATGAGAAAAGCTAGGGTTCTTATAGGTTGCTAGCGGCGGTTCGGAACCGGTAATGGCCGACCAACGACTGACAGGCATTTAATGTCTTGGTAACTGGACCGACGGGACGTTTCGTCGCATACATCATAATCGGGCTCGTCGCTGATGCCATTACCTATCTAGTCGGAGTTCAGCAATTCATATCGTTTCTCTCCATCTTCTTTCTGAGAAACGAGGGGACTATCTGTATACGGTCAAAATCAAGATTGCCCTTCGTATGACTAATCGAGATTGAAACATAATAGGACAAGGTTCGAACTCGTGTAATATCGAACCGTGATGTAAGGTTTGAGTGCCGAGCTCGTAACCTAGAGACCGATCGAGCTTGGAACTGTCCAAGATCGGGATCGAACACGATAGAGATCGAGCGAGACTGAGAGAAGCTTATCGAGCCAAAAAATAGAAAGCCGAAATATCCGCAATTGGGCGAGAATCACGGCGGAAATCCCGACACATATCAAGGAAAGACCAATTAATTAACCTATCATGAGATTTCTTACTATATTTAGAATTATATCAAGAGTAGGACTTCCCTACTATATAAAGGGGGTCTGATCATTTGTAGAGTAGGACATATTTTATGCAATACAAAGCAATATACTGTCTTTCTTTTGGTTTTCAATATCTAGTCATTTTATTCTTGTGTCAGTTTATTCTCCACTTGGTTTGAGGGTGATCGAACTTGAGGGCCAAGGCTATTTGATTCATTTGGTTTGCATTTATTTCTTTTACAGTTAATTTCAATACTAATATATATATATATTTTCTCAATTTGTGCCAAGTTATATCACGTATCCTTAAAATCACGTATAAATTCAATTGTTATCCATTTTTCGGGTAAACAAGTATATATATGTACATAAGTATATAAAAATTACCTAACTATACAGTGTAATTTATCGATGAAGGAACATAAGTGGCTTCGACCGAATATAATCATGCATGGTATATATCTCCCGAAAACAATTTAGTGATACCCCATATTTAAATCAAATTATATTAGTTTACCATAGTGATAAACAGCATCCTTCTTACTGCATGAGCGCGCATATAAGAACTTTATAAAATGCCTTGACAGTCTGCGCTTGTGGCTTCCCTCAAACTACTTACCATGATTCTATATAAGAGTGTATCTTAATGTAAGGAATATAACGGAAGAATGTAGTTTTGAACAAATTCATGTAAATTACCTGCATATATCTTTTTCAATTTTACAAGTTTAACGTTACACAATCGTCAAATGTTACATGCATTATTTCATTTCACAAATTTAAAAGTAATGGTTACAGGAATATCCAACTATGTGCATACATTCGAATGATATTTGTTGTTTCTTTTGTTGAACCGAATAAAAATCTTTTTTGGTACCTCCTACTATATTTATAAATAAAAAAAAAAATTGAAGTAATGGAAAATTAGCCAAGAGCTTTGCTTTGATGACTAAGTAATGAAGCATCAATATCTCTAAAAAAATTAACCAGGAGCATAGAAGAGCTGGCCATTAATATTCCAGAAACAAAGTTTACCTTATCTTTTACCTATCTGTCTTTACTTTAAAAACCTCCTAATCATCGGACATTTCCAAGAGTCTTTTCTCTTAAACATCGTGTTTCTTGTTCCTCTTTACACTAATCTATGAGAAAGAATTATACTAATCTTTGCTTTAAATAAACCATTAACCATTCGCTCCCACCTTCTGCATTTGCCTCCAAATACTCTTTTGAGGTGAGGACCACTCATCTCAATCTTTAAGAAAGAGATCGACGATTTCAAGTTCTTTTATCAAGTTAGAAAGTCTTTTTTGTCAGACGACTCGCAAGAGGCAAAAAGAAAAAATGGGTGGGTTTAATGGAAATAGCCCAAAAAACTCTCCAAGATCTTCCCCAAGAAAAACATACAGCCCAAAAAACTCTCCAAGAAAAACACCCACAACTCTAAAACAACTCCTTTTAGATTCCAGGAACATGTCAAATTTTCTTGATTCTGAAACAGAGGAATTGCTCTCTCTTATTTCTTACTGTTCTTTCACTTACACTTTCACTGATCCACAAGAATCCCCTTCACAACAGGATTTAAAGAGGCTAAAACTCATTCAACTCCTTTCAATAATCAAGACTATCATACAACCACTTGATGATCAAGTACTTTCACCCCTTTTCAAAATGTTGTCCACTAATCTTTTTAGGCCACTTTCTCCACCAATTTACTATGTTGCCTCAATATTACCCGACGACGATGACCTTGTGAGTAATCCTACACCCTCTTGGCCACATTTGCAAATAGTTTATGACATTTTCCTCAGGATTGTCACTAGAACAAGTGTCGAATCGCTCCGAATTTACATTGACCATTCTTTCCTTCTTAATCTCCTCACATTGTTCCAATCTGAAGACCAAAGGGAACGTGACAGCTTGAAGAATGTGTTCCACAGAATTTATTCAAAATTAACATTCTATAGACCATTCATGAGAAAGGAAATGAATGATGTATTTTTGCACTATGTTTTTGAGACTGATCAAAGGAACCCTGGAATAGGAGAACTTCTTGAGATATGGGGCACAATTATCAATGGCTTTAGTGTTCCTTTGAAAGAAGAGCATAAACTATTTTTAGTGAGAGTTCTTGTCCCTTTGCATAAGCCAAAAGGGATGCAAGTTTACCACAGGCAATTGGCCTATTGTGTATCTCAGTTTGTGCAGAAAGAGCCAAAGCTTGGTGAGGTTGTTATTAGAGGTATTTTGAGGTATTGGCCAGTAACAAATTGCCAGAAGGAAGTTCTGCTTATTGGTGAATTGGAAGAACTTGTGGAAACTCTACATCCTCAACTGTACAAAGAACTAGCACTGCCTTTGTGCACCAAAATTAGCAAGTGTTTAAACAGTTGGAACTCACAGGTAAAAGCCAGTGCCTCCCCTTTAGCTTCCAGCCTAAGACTATTTGGATAACCACTATCAGTGTGTTTGGTACGCCGAAAGTCATATTTTCCATGGAAAATGTTTTTCTCCAATATGTTGTCCATGAAAAATGGTTGCCGGTGTTCTGTTGGTGAAAGAAAATATCTTGAGAAAAATACATATATTAAGGATCAACAATTTTATTAGTAAACCAGAGAGTGTTTTGATAAAACATTTGAGTATTAAAGATTATTAATAATAATAATTATAATAATAATAATGCCTAAGTGGTAGTTAAAAGGTAAGATTTTTGTAAGAAATATAACTTCCGCCCATAAGTGAGGGAATTCATATTCTCCATTTTTATGATAGATGTTTTTCAAAGGAAAACATTTTTTCTAAACCAAACACCACAAACCGACTCTCTAGAAAGTGTTTCAATCGTACTAAACACACCTTATGTAAAGAGATGATTTTGGAGACTACTAAATGTTTTGATTTTAGGTTGCAGAACGCGCATTGTATGTGTGGAACAATGAGCAATTCTGGAAGATGGCATCACAAGCAATGGAAGAGGTTTTTCCAATTCTAGTTGAAGGGATGGAGAAGAATCTGGAGGGGCATTGGAGCAAAAGTGTTCGACAATTGACAGAAAATGTTAAGGGAATGCTTGAAGCTCTAGCACCATTTCTCTATTCCAAGTGCCTTTTACAACTTGAAATCCAAGAAGCCGTGGAACGCATAGAAGACATGAGAAGAAAAGAAATTTGGGAAAAGTTAGAAAATGCAGCAAAGTAGTAAACAGAATATACTGTATATCTGCATTTCATATTCAACAGACACAAAAGTGGCCTTGCTAGTGAGTGTTTCAACAGCACCATATTCCATCACACACCACAATCTAGGAAACAACTTCAATCTTATCTGAGTATTAGTCGTTTCAATCAAATGTTCATGCAGCTGCCATTGGCCAAAACATTTTTCCATATGGAGACAACTATATATACAATGTCTTAGATTTCATTAAAGGGGCAATACTTCCTCAAGGTTACAAGTAGATTGTTTCAATCGCGTTGCTGAGTATAGAATGAGAGTGATGCTTCGAATGCCCCATTTTCAGAGGCTATGATGTGATCAGATTAGAGAGTGGGGGAGAGGTATACAGTTCACCAGCACAAGCAGACATTAAAACCAATTTAGCAATTCTTAACAAAACTCAATCGAACATTTACACTCAGAATCTTCAATAAAGCATCTTTGAATACAATGTCACTTTGGCATTTTCGTTCGAATCATAACTATCGAATATTTTTCATATTTTCTATAGACGGGGAATTGAAGACATTATCGCAGGATAAAAATGTTACAATAATTCCTTTCAAAGGTACGTATATGTAAACCCCCACCAATAAACCACAAAGTACAGACTATTATTATTGCTTACCTCATTCGACCTCCCAACAGACCATCTAGTCCTATCCTCCAGAAGAAAAGGTAAATAAACAAATTCTCAGACATGCTATGTAGACTTAAACCACCAAATGGAACCTTACAATTGTAAAGTTAAAAATAAGAAAAATTGCTCCTTAACCCGAGAAGAAATTATCAAACCCAATTACCCAAGAACTTAGGATCACCCCCTTCAATAGATTCAGGACAGACACAAAAAATAAAATGCAATTGTAACAAAGCACACCTGTACACTTAATATGATGAACCTCAGCTTCCGGGATAACTGCTGTGCCCAAAACCAGAGCAACTGAAGCTTCAAAAGAATATGAATAGCTTCAATCTTCAATGAGAATGTTCCATGGAGGAAATTGAACCCAAAACTTTGTCTTGCTCCACATGCACGGCTCAACAACAATCAGATAATGCTAATACTCAAACGAACACGAAGCCAATAGATCCATAGATCTGAAGTATAATATAGCCATGACAACAAGCATTGGAACTTGGAAGACATTCTCTGTCAATAAGAAATTAAACTTGATACTTTAACAACTTGTCCTTCACTGAGGGCTCCAAAGCTGACATGAACTGTTCCCAAGCACCATCCTTGAGCATCTGGCAAAATATTTCCAACCTCAGAATAATGCATTAGACATCTTATACCTCCAGATAATATACCAGTGAGAGCTCATGAGAAAAATGAGATACTTTTCTTCTTTTTCCCCATTTATTCACCAGGTTCATCTCCAGATGAAACAACAAAATAATTCATTAAGGAAACAGAAAGATAATTTCATCAGAGCCGATGTTAAACTAGTGGCATCCCAGGAGCAAATTGGTCAGGAAACCCCTCAAAGATCTACTCACAAATTAGCGAGTAAAACGATAAAGACATCATGAAAAGATACCCTTCTAGCAGATTAAAAAAAGAAAAGCTTAATGCAAAAATATAACCCGAACTTGGCACTGTTTATTCGGTGAACACCTGAACTATTTTTGTCTTATGCACTGCGCACCAAATAAATAATTTCAACCTCAGGAGGGTAGTTAGGTATTATGCCACAATAAACTACTCCCTCCATCCCAATTTATGTGACATTCTTTCATTTTTAGTCAGTTCCAAAAAGAATAACACCTTCCTATATTTAGTAACAATTTCAACTTTAAATTTTCCTTTTTACCCTTTATGAGATGATTTCTAGCCACAAAAATATCTATGATTTGTTTCAGAACATAAGTTTCAAAAGTCTTCCTTTATTTCTTAAACTCCGTGCCTAGTCAAACACTTCACATGAATTGGGATGGAGGGAGTATTATATCAAGCAGTGCTTACTTGCTTATATCCTTGCAGAACCAGACAGATTTCTTTGTGTAAATCTTCGCTTCTTATCTCCTGAAAAGGATCACAACCATAAGGAAAGTTCTCCGAATTTCGTATTTCCCTCCACTATTGAAATACAACAGAAAATAGAAAGCTTACATGCCAACTTGCAATGGCTTTACACATAAAGACAAGTGAATTCATTGCACCTGATGGATTTGCCTTAACCTGGAAAAAATGAAACCGCTCCTCCATTCAGATAATAAATTTAACAGGTTCTAAAGAATAACTCTTCACTGGTTTTGAATTTATGAGAACGTCTTGCATTTCTATAGTATTTGTATCCATCATGGATATTCTGCCATAATTTTCCACGATACATTGATATTCTGCCATAAATATTTTGATAAATCCATATCTGTCATAATCTGAAGTCTTTCATTAAATTTTTGCTTCACTTAAATAAAGTTATAGTTGATTATACTGAATGATATTGCACCTGTAGTACCAAATCTCTAGTTTGATATAAAATCATGACTACCTCTAAGCCAATTGGCATCTTCTTCATCGCATTCACAAAGAGATAGTGTCCCAATTTACAAAGTGATGTAAGTGGCCAAGAGAGAGGACAAAGTAAAGTTAAATTTTAAAAATATACAAAGAGATACTTTCCCAATTTTATGGCATTCAGAATTTAGTCTTGTCAAACCAGTTCAGTGCTTGAGGTTGGGCTATAAAGATTTTCAGGCTTAAAAAGGCAGAAATCCAAAGCTGTCAATAATAGGATATTCATAAGAGTTTAGCAGTATTCAGTCATTGTGATCTGAACTAAAGAGGCAATATTAAAAGACAAAACTACCATTGCACATAAACCATGAAAGGCATCCTCCTTCTCAATATCATCACGTATCCTGCCAGAAAAAGAGCGCAAGTTGTCGGTCATCAACAAGGCATTTTGTGCACTATAATAGTGCTGAACACAGCTCAAACATCAATACTTGATGTGAACACCCCAGAACTAACACAACAACAATGATAGGTGCGGAGGAGATCAGGAATGTGCGGGTTACCAATCAGAGATCTTCATCACATATTAACATTCATTTTCATGAATTGGAAAACAAAAAGACAAGTTCACTAGCTTCACATTGTGAAATGGGGGTTTTCTTCTCAGGCAAACTTGACTAACTAGTGCACTAGTACTGCGGCAAAGGAAAAATGGGTAGCCAAAGTTTTTATCACCTTTTTCGTTTTTTCCACCTCCCAAAACAAGATGAACTTAAAAAGAAAAACAACACTACAGAAACTACTTACATTCAACCATCTGCTCTACGACCTCACACATATGCATCCACTCCCATTACGTACGAATAAAAAACACAAACACATACCATGGCTTCGAAGAAAACGTTCTTACTTTTAACCATGCACTATCAGTCACTAAAATAATTTCACTTTGATGTTAAACAAGTTAAAGCAAAAAAATTCTAAAGCAGGTCTTTTGGGATTTAGCTACCCAACTTCAGTTAAACAGTATTACCATGCTCGGATGGAGGTATGTTAAGTGACATTCGTTTAAGTAAATGGAGTAAGCCAGTCTAACATTCGTTAAGACATATTTGGCCAGCTTGACTGCAATTCTCTATGTTTAATGCAAAAAACTAACAGTTCATTCTTGTACGATGCAAACCGCCAGTCACAAACGAATGGAACAATTGCAATTGGAGTAAACTTACATAGACAGGGCAAAGCACCATGCTTGCATAAAATGCTCCATATGCGGTGACACAAGCTCCGGACAAACCCATGCAAGTCTTCCAAGGGTGATTGCACTGTTTTCTATCAGTGACTTGTTGAGACCCTTTTCAGAATCAAATATAAAATGAGCAAGACAATACAAAACACAAACTTGGTCACAACGTACATGCAGGTATGCATATACAAACAACAGAATTAACCAAACAAACAACAACAATAACTACGCCTCAGCCCCAAACAAGCTGGGACTGGCCATATGAATACTCACAAACCATGTTCCACATTTAAAGTCATCCCAGGCCAAAATCATACGAAACAAACATGAAAAATAAAAACGAAAAATACTAGAAGTTCTCTATATGTCCTACTGGCATAATAATCATAAAATATTTCAATCTTAGATATAAAACAGATAATTACCTCAGCATGTTGAAGGATTGGTACTAAGCACGAGACGACAGACAGGACTACTGGAGATATCTCTTTCTGAACCTGAAATTATGGCGTCTCACATCAAACTTGTGGTCCATAAAACAAGACCAAAGAAAACACATGGTATCTATTGGAAATTTAAGTCCAGACACAAAAGACGGAGCATAAAAGGAACCAAAAGAAGATGACCAGCACAGCACACATGAAAGGTATATATATTTGTCTTGAGAAAAATGTAAGTGCACCTCTGAATGTTTTGTCCTCTCATGAAAAACTGACTATGTGACAGACAACTTGAGCGTCACATATTAGCTTCATCAGTTTGTCAGCTAGGGAGTCTCTTGGAGAAGTCTCAACCAAAGAAGCTCACTACTTCCAAGAGTCATAGCTCGGGATGATGCTTCTACACTAGATCTAGGGATATCTTGCTTTTACTTTGGCAGAAAACCTAAACTGCACTGGATTCAAAGCCAGCCCACAACTCTCCTATTTCCCATTTTAACACTCTACTTGATGGAATGAGTATTAATAAAGGCCTAAATGACTGGAGACATGCCAGTCTGAGTAGGAGAGACTCTAATAGCATGTTAAGAAAATGGACCTTAGACCCAACTCAACCACAAATGCTAGCTCATGAGGTAAAGATTGTCCATAATCATGTAAGGGGACAACGACTCATTCCCTCAACCAACGTGGGATACTTTAACAACATTGACGGAGAGGAATGATATATTGACGGTGTAGAGTCGGATTCCGTACATATCAGAAATTGCCTCTTCTAATTTCCTTTTGCTGCACCTGGGATTGCCAGTCTATATGAAAGATTAGGTGCACTTTGCAAAGAACCATACTTTCATATACTCTACTTTTTGGCATATCCATACAGGTTTATTCTCATCTTCAATAAGATTCTTGTTACCTGATAAGGTGATGGACCTCATTTTATAAATTCTTACTCCAGGAGGCCAAAAATAACAAATTGAAAAGTTAGTAACTGCCATGAGACAGTTACTCATGTATTGGGTAGTTTTTTTCTGGAGAAAGGCGGCAGGGAATTTTTGCAGACAAGTATTCAAACAATAAAACTAATCCTTGGGAGAGTTCTAGCCTCTCAAATGTCTAGAAGTGTCATGTCTGTACAATTTCAATGTTATGTACTGTGTCTCTGTCACTTGTATCCATTTCAGTAATTATTCTATTCTGTCTGAATGTCATTTCGTGTTTTATGCTGTAATTAGGGAATTCTCAGTGTGGGCGTGGTTATTTCAGACTTGCTGAAGTAAATTCTGTTTTTTCAGTGTTATCAATCAGTTTTTGTTCCTGTTATATCCTATTTTCAGATAAGTCTGTCATAAGGAAAAACTATCTTATTGATTGATGTCTATACACATGATTTTAGTCACAAGAGCATAAAAGAACAAGTGCTCTCTGACACAATGATCTTGCAGACGAGGAAAATAAGGAATACCCAAATATGAAGTTGGATTATGTGACATAAAAGGGCTTCTTTGTGTTTTTCTTAACTTTTTCTTTCTTCCTCCCTTTTTCTTTTTAGATAAACGTAGTGGAGAGTTTTCGAGTATTACCACATTCTACTAACATTACATCACTTCTTCATCTAATCCAGATCTAATGATCTTGGGAGCAACAAATTTGTCAAAATTACCTTGATTGCTAATTCACCAATCGCCCAACAGGCGTTGTTGGCCACAGAAATGGTTTCCTTCAGCTTGGAAGTGTCCTGTAAAAGCATCTATAGAGTAAATATGACAAGGAATCAAACAGCTGGAAACACATTAAGAAAGAGAAGAGTAGTTCATACCAGTTGCTTAGTGGCAACATCAAGAAATTCCGTCAACCGAGGCCGCAAATGAATGGAACAAACCTAGTAGCAACAAGCAAAGGAATGTTAGCTGCGAAAAGAAAGACTGCCTTTTCAAGGCATTTGGATTTCCAAACAGAAATCACAATGCTAACCACATTAAGACCGTACTACAGAAATTCAGATACAAGCTGAAGCCTATGAAGTGGGCTCAAGCTCAAAGGTTAGGTATCAACTTACCCTTGCAAGGTCACCAAGCAAAGCAAAGGCACTCTGCCGAACATCAGGTGCATCATCCAAGCAACATTGCAGCAGCAAATCCCTTAAATTACCTTGTGAAACCTAGAGAAATTGCAATTCCACATTGAAACATAAAATAAGATTGTCCATGCAGCTTGGTATCAGAATACTGCAAGTACTATTTCAAGCACAGAAACCAAAGTGTGAAACAAGTGACATATAGTGGTTGGAAAGAACAATCAGAGAAAACCAACTTGAAATTCAATGCATGCATCAGTTTTGGAGGAAAAAGAATTACCAAACTCTCAAAACTAGTGCCAAGACCTTCAGCAAGTCCAGACAGCAGGTCCAAAGAACAAACAATAAATTCTCGGTCATATTGTAATCCAGCTGAAGCAGGATCAACCTGCAATCAAAACTCAGTAATAGTGAGCAGAGAAGAGAGCATCTTAGAAGTCGGGGCTCAGAGGGGTAAATGAATAAGTTGCTTATCAAGAACAAAAAGCATGCAACTGAAAGAAGCATAACCCTCTGACCTTGCAATGAAAAGGGTTCAACCTTCTCATTATAGCAACCGTAAAATACAAATATAAACTATGCGAAAAGTTAAAAGAGGACACCCCAAATTCAGAAAATTACCGCAATATACTACAAAGTAAATAGTAAGACTTAATAAGAGAACTCCCCAAATTCAAATATACAAACAAAATAGAAACAATATAATATATATGTGAGGTTGTGATTAGACGAAGATGGCGGACATACTTTTATAAACTCTTGAATGAGGAGGGGGACAGGAACATTGTGATGGGTGAGCTGGAGCACTCCGAGAGTCGTCGTGATTTTGGGTACCGTAGGTGTACAAAAGTTGAGGAGGTTGAGGGGGCTATGCGTAAGATGAGCAGTGGTAGAGCGACCGGGCCAGACGAAATCGCGGTAGAATTTTGGAAGAACACTGGCTGGCAGGCTTGGAGTAGCTTACTGCATTGTCTGATGTCATTCTTAGGATAAAAATGATCCCCGAAGAATGGAGGTGGAGTACGATGATTCCGTTGTACAAGAACAAAGGTGATATCTAGAATTGCAACAATTATAGGGGTATCAAGTTGTTAAGCCACACTATGAAAGTTTGGGAAAGGGTGGTCTAAGCGGGGTTGAGGAGGAGTGTGTATTTCCGAGGACCAATTCGGTTCATGCCGGACCGATCAACTACGGAGGCCATTCACCTGGTAAGGAGATCGGTGGAACAGTATAAGGAGAGGAAGAGGGACTTGCATATGGTGTTTATTAACCTAAAGAACATACAACAAAGAACGAGAGAGGTTCTATGGAGGTGCTTGGAGGTTAAAGGTGTCCTTGTAGCTTACACTAGGCTGATTAAGGACATGTATAATGATGCTAAAACCCGGATTAGGACTATGGGAGGAGACTCAAAACACTTCCCAGATGTGATGGTGTTGCACCAAGGCTCAACCCTTAGTCCGTTTTCATTTGCCTTGGCAATGGACGTTCTGACGCGAGACATCCAAGGGGAGGTTCCATGGTGCATGTTATTTGCAGATGACATAGTATTGATTGACGAGACGCGAGGTGGTGTTAATGCGAGGCTGGAGGTTTGGATACAGCCTTGGAGTCAAAAGGTTTCAAGTTGAGCAGGACCAAAATGGAATACTTGGAGTGCAAGTTCAATGATGTGACTAAAAGCGGACGTGGACATTATGCTGGACTCATAAATCATCCCTAAGAAAGGAAGTTTCAAGTATCTTAGATCAGTAATCCAAGGTGATGGGGAGATTGACGAGGATGTCACACATCGTATCTGAGCGGGGTGGATGAAATGGAGGCTCGTATCCAGTGCTTTGTGAGATAAGAATGTGCCACTAAGACTTAAAGGTAAGTTCTACAAAGTGGTGGTTGGACTGACTATGTTGTATGGGGCTGAGTGTTGGCCAGTCAAGAAATCACATATCCAAAAAATGAAAGCAGCAGAAATGAAGATGTTGAGATGGATATATTGACATACCAGGAGGGATAAGATTAGGAATGAAGATAACCGAGACAAGGTGGGAGTGGCCCCGTGGAGAAAAAGATGCGGAAATGAGGCTACGATGGTTGGGGCATGTGAAGAGGAGAGACAAAGATGCCCAATTGATGAGGTGTGCGAGGTTGGCCTAGGTGGGTTAAGGAGAGGCAGAGGTAGGCCAAAGAAGTATTGGGGAGAGGTGATTAGGCAGAAGATGGCACAGCTCCATCTTACCGAGGACATAATCCTTGATAGGAGGGTGTGGAGATCGAGAATTAGGGTAGATGGTTAGTAGGGACGTATTTCTTTTCCATACCAGTAGTATTAGTATTATTCTTGTATTCTCCAATTTCACTCTGGCTGTCCTATATTCTCATATTTTCTGATTCATAGATTTCTACTACTCCATGTTGTCTCTTTCGCTCCGGTGTCTTAGTATCTTCTTGTTGTTACTGTTTATTGCTACAGCTTCTTTTTCGTCTTTCTTTGAGCTGAAAATCTATTAGAAACAGTTTCTCTACCTTCACAAGGTAAGAATAAGGTTTGTGTACACACTATCCTCCCCAGACCCCACCTACGGGATTACATTGGGTTTGTTGTTGTGTTATATGTATGGTTGTGAATGTAGAGAGAGTGCAACACACTCAAAAAGATTGCAGACATCACTATAGACTTCCAAGGCCAACATGTGTTGCTCTGTGCCTCGTTCTCTCTGCTTTTTCCTTGGTTTTTTTTTTTTTTTT